CGTTTTTGGTGTCGGCTGTAGATAATTTTAGCTGCATCAGTGGGATTCAATACTCCCTATCCAGCCCTGTCCTGCATTTCACAGTCATGAGATTACAGGAATATTTCCTATCTCTACATGTTCAAATTAAAACAAATGTTATGAGTCTCAGGCTCAGGCACAAGACAGCTGAACTCAGAAGACACATCCGTTTGAAAAGTGATAGCTGCAAAAAAAAGATACAGCTTCCACCCTGATGTGTATTTCTGAATGATATTTGCTCAAGTGAGAGGCTCACTCCCTCCTCTATTCTGGCGTGATATCAAATCTCGCCTGTTATGTTCCATCTAAGATGTCCTGAAAAGGACAGTGAAGCCCTTTAGGCACAGTGTCCAATCACTACTCTCTTCAGCTTTCCGGCGTGTGGCATTAGCAGATCAGTGGAGGCATGAAATAGAAGGCTGAAGACTTCAGCTCATGCTGTTATCCACTCTGCTGTAATAAAAATGATCCTCTGTGCTTCTAATAATTCACTAACTTCCAGGCCTTTTTTTTTTCTTGAGACAAAAAAAAATGTAAGAAAGAGACAAATCAGAGAAAATAGAGTGTTGAAACAGCAGGAACTCGCACAAAATGGAGTGTATAGCCTGTGGTTGAGGCGTATTAATTGCCACCGTGTTGCCAGCTGCTTCACATGAGCTCCTGGTCTGCATGAAGGCTCATTTAGCAACTGGCCGCTGTGATTTTCAAACAGAACCGTTGCTGCAAAGGGCAGCTAAAATGCATGCTCCTGAGGATCGAGATGTGGAGGACCAGCTGTTTTAGTGTGAAAATGTTAGTGTATGAACAGTCACTGCAGTGACATGACACACAATTATTGAAGATGACATCAGATATTTTATAATCTTCTGAGTTGGGGAAAAAATCAACACAAAAAATTTTTAATTTGGTTTTTAAAGCAACTTATTACGTTTTTCTGCTTCTTCCTCCAACTGGTTGAAACCGTCAAAAACAACCATGCTGTGCTAACAATGAGCTAATGCTAACACAAGTCAGCTGACAGGAAGTGTTGTTGTTTGTCGTCTTGCTTTTTTCCTGCTGTTATAGTTCTGAAAGTCTAATTAAAGGAAGTAAAATGCCACGATTGACTCATTGTTCACTTCTCACAAACATTTCACTGTATTACCAAGTTGTGAATAATGGAAAAGGTAGTTTGAGATATTTTAGAGCAAATAAGCTTCTAATTCACCATTAGCATTGCTAGCTAAATGTTAGCCTCTGGCCTGTTTCACCCAATATTAGAGTAAAACAAAAAGATGCCATGGCTCCTTATAGGGGCACAATAAATAATTTCTGGGTCACTCGTGTTTACTGGCTTCAATTGTTGTAAGAACTTTGGAGCTTTTTGCATGGCGGTGTCGGTTTACAAATGCCTGCACTGCTGCTTTAGCTCGCTACAGATTCACTACAACCTTATAAACCCACAGAGGGTAAACAGTCACTGCGTCTCACTTTCTTTTTCTTTTTTGACAAAAGAAAACTGACAACCTCCCAGTCGGCTGAGAATGAAATCTGTTCCATTATAACCTTCCTACCTACATGATTAAGACGTTAGACGGTTAAGTGATTATTTCACAGTATAATTCTTACAGATTGCACCTTTAATATGAAAATGAAATGCTCTTTTTTATTTTTTTGTACATAAGTTTAGCTAATCAACAATTCAAAACTGTTGTTGCAATTTTCTCCCCAGTGGTCTGACTGTTTTTTTATTTTATTTTTTTTATTTCTCAACCCCTTAAAAAATGTCTCCAATCTGTCACACAGTCAAAGAACTGAGCCAAAAAGCAAAGACGTATATTCACTGAGATTCCATCTGAAATAAGCTTCTGAAATAAGTTAAAAAGCTTCGTCACCTGAAGGGTGATTGAAGTATAGCTGTTGATCCTACTACAGTCTGCTGAGGTGGTTCATCTCCACGTCATCTTTCTCTGGGGGTTATATGAACACATCTCTAAAAAGTGATCCAAGGTCAGACCTGGAACTCCATGGAGGAATTGTTCCTATTCTCTGGTGTGGAGCAACTTGGGGGTCCCCCTGGATGATCTGAAGAGTGTTGCAGGAGAATGTTTTGTTTTTGTTTAGTTTTTTTACTGAATCTGCAATAATCTTAATAATACCTAAAACAACAACATAAAATATAGCTCATCTAAAACTATCTCTGGCTCTTCGTGGTGATCAGTCATGCTTTTTGTCTGGTTTTTAGTGATGTGTAGATTAGTCATTTGTGACATGACATCAAATGACCTGTTTTCACTGAAGTTGGTGAAACTTTTTTGAGCATATGCAATGCTTTAAATTTTTTATGAGGTCCTATTTTATTACACTACAACTTAAACATTAAATACAACTTTTAACCACTGTTGATGAATGATCAGAGGAGATGTGATACTGGTAATGAGATTACTTATGACTCTGTTGAAACCAGTGGACGTTATGTTTACATGGTTCATCCAGAAGATGGCAGTGTAGTACCGCTTTACTGCTTCTTCTGACATCCCTTGCTGTTGGAGTGGAGGACAGCCAAGCCTGAGGATGAAAGGGTTAGCCTAACTCTAACCCTAACCCATGGACCATCTTTGATTTGCACCACCTCCCGCTGCATCCTGAGATTAGAATCTGTCCAAGGTCCTGAAAGTTAACTGTATTATTTCCTGCTATTTCAGCTGTTAACTATTTTTTTCTCCAAGAGATTTTCTCCCCAGAAGAAGCTACAATGACGTTCTGCTGAGCTGTGGTAGCCTCATGGTGGGGGCCATCAGCTTGAGCACTGTTGCTAACCATTTAAACATTCTCCCTCTCCTGATAACATTTTACTTTCTCTGACGTTGAATTTGCTACTACTAGTTTACCCGTTTAATTATAGATTCACTAGGATAAATACAATAAAGTTTAACTCTCAGCAAATAGAATATTTACTAAGAAATCACAATGTAACCATAGACACATTGCTTGGTGTGTGTGTGTGTGTGTGTGTGTGTGTGTGTGTGTGTGTGTGTGTGTGTGTGTGTGTGTGTGTGTGTGTGTGTGTGCGCTCTGTCTTCTCGATCTCCAGTGAGTCGTGGAGGATGGCTGCTTACACTGAGCCAGGATCCTCTGGAGGTTTCTTCCTGTTAAAAGGGTTTTTCCCTCCACTGTCGTGTAGGGTTTAAAAAATTGAGTGCTTTAAGAGCTCAATATATATTACCTTTACTTAAGACCAATAAGCTGTGATACTCTATCTAAATATAGAATAACAACCTGCTTGGTCTTTACTGTATTTAATCAGAAGATTCTAGGATTCTTTGTTTTATTAAGGGATTGTAAACACTTTGTTTTGATTCAGAAAATAATTTATTTTACAATTTAAACATGACAGGTTAACTAACATTTACTGTGAGTGGATGGAGCTAGATGTGATGTATGAAACCTATGTGTGAATGCGATGTTATCAGAACTTCCGTATCTAGGAGAGCTGAGTTCTGGATGTAAAAGAATTTGGTTTGCGTTAATCTATGAAGTTGATTATTATCAAAAACACATCAGACACATTCTGTCATGTCTACATACCCACTCGAAGACCCTTGTGATAGATCTGGAATGTCGAAGACTTCCAGGCACCGAGGTCCGTAGAAGAAATGCGGCGCTACTAGACCGGTCTTCGAGTTTTCTCCAGGTCACAACAGACAGATGGAACCAACTCTAACCCTAACGCATGGACCATCTTTGATGTTTGCCATCATAAATTCTATAAAACATGTCTGACTCTACATGCTTTCAGACTAAATGTAGTTTCCAGTTTTTTAACCTTGATGGTGATTTTGTAAAATAAGGCTGATGGCCTTGGTGCATGGAAGAAAGGGAACAATGGTATGTCGTGACACATTGTCCAAGGGTATAGGAGATTTGTATTGTAAAGCCACGGTGTCCAAAGTGGGGGGTCGGCACCTCACTGTGGATGACAAAACACTAAGTTTGGGGTTTCGAGGTGATCTTTAGAAATTAAATTATTCCTACAAACAATAAAATAGTTTCACTGTATTTGTTGCAAAAAGTTGGAATTAAATCAGAATCAGATCAGAAAAGGTTTTTTGCCATTGTCAGTGAACAAACAATTCACAAACTAGGAACTTGCTTCGGTACTAATGTGCTACATATAACATGAATCATAAGATTAAAAATAGAATAAAATAATATAATAAAAAACTAGAATAAAACTTTCAGCTATAAAAATTTGCAGGTAATGGTAACATGGCCGATAACGTGACGGCTATAACTGAAACATCTGTTATTTGGTTCAAATAAATGATGGTGTTTGGCTGGTTCTGTATGCTTTTTTTTTATTATTTAGTTTTGTTTTAACTTTTGTGAACAGAAAACCCCTTTCCTAACTAGGAAGGGATATAGACCCATTGCAGCGTGGCGTAACACACCCCCACCCCCACCCCCACTCAGCTCCAGGCTGGGGGGCAAGACGGCACCTCCCCGTTGACCACAGTAATGTTTACCTGTTAGCTGTCAACAAACAGAGCTAAAAAGCTGCTAAACAAAACCTATCAGCTTGGTTAACGCACATAGAGCTGTAGGCTGCAAGCAAGTAGATGAAAGAAGGACAGTAGAGTTACATTTTACAGGTTTCCAGATGATAAAATATGCTGAAGGCAGTGATTAAAGGCCAGTTCTACTGGATGAACCACTTACGCCGTGGAAAAGTCTTGTCTTGTATTCTTGCCAGAATAAAAAAGCAACATATGTGCCCCACATGTCCAGAAACAAGTTATAGCATAATGACTTATGTGCTTTTTTAATAGAATTATGCGTGACCGCGGGTACGAGAGGCCGGCCGGGGGAGAACCGGCCAACCAAGCAGATCCAGCAGCAGGGAGGAGCTGTGCTGCTGATCAGACCTGGGAAATAAACGTGTGTGAAAATGACAACACCGGTGTGGTGTGTAGTTCTGTGTGTAACCCACAGAAACTGTCTTGTTACAACAATTGGAGCGGGCAGCCACTAATGTCGCTTGCAGTGGCGGCTGGCCAGTAGAGGGCGTTAGGGCGCCGCCCTCCCAGTTTTTCCGTGTTTTTAAGTTTTATTTTAAAAAATAAATAAAATTAACAATAATCACATATTCTAAGTTAATTGTGTGTTTTGTAACAAAAATAAATCATTTATATATATCTATATTGGTCTCTGCCGGTCTCTGCCGAGCGGTGGAGGCTGTGTGCTGTTTTTCAATCGCCCAAACAGGACGAGACCAGCTGTCCAATTGCTGACAATAATATCAAAGGGTAGGAATGGGAATGTATCCAATCAGCGTCGACGTTGTTTCAGAACGTTTCAGTAGCATGATGGGCGATGGCGCTACCGCCAAAGGTTTCGTTGGTGTTCGGTAGAACTCGGCAGAGTCGTTTTTGGTCGTGACGCAGATGTAACATGGACGCCGCCGGTGACTACAACCAGCATGGATACCGGATCTCAGCAGCCACTGAATTCAGTTCGGTCTCCTCCAGTATCCGTTCGAGAGGAGAACTATGGTGGAAAAACTTAATGTCAAAGAGCTTGGACCAGATCAGCCCGACGTAAAGATAAGCCAGCAGGAGAAGGAGAGAGGTAAACACACAAGGCTTCTCCCGAAATTGGTACACCAGGAAGCAGCGGCTTGCTGGATGCAATCACGCTAATGCGTTATTTTGCTCTCCGTGTTTGTTATTCAAAACGGCTGGGACAGATAAGGCATGGATGAGTCAGGAGTTACAGACATGAAACACTTTTCTGAGAAGGTGAAGAAACACGAGTCATCCCGGGCACACATGGACAACAACACGGTGAAGCTAGCTATGCTAGGCAGCAGAGCTAACGTTGCCATGCAGGGAACAACAGCAGCTGGGTGCAGAGGTAAGCTGTACATTACATTTCTGTGAACAAGACAATCAGAATCAGAAATCCTTGGTTGTCCTACAAACCGGGACATTTGTTTAATAACATGTTTAATGTGCAATAACTGTAAAAACTAATTTCAACACACATACTTATTATACATATTTAATCACGTAAATGTGTATTTCATGTAAATTTGTACATACATCAATCTGATTCCATTTTACTTGTTACACTTCTGCTGCAGCAAACACATTTCCCAGCTTTTGGGACAATTAAACATTTCTGATTCTCAATTAGATGTTTTTACCTCAAATGTAAAAACATCTGATTGAGAATCAGAAATGTTTTGTTGTCCCAAAAACTGGGAAATATGACATTTGTAAGAGGATGCTGATGACATTATTTCCTATGAAAGTGTTTCCTATGTACTTATCTGTTGTTTTTTATTTATCATATGACAGGTTTTTCACACCATCCTGAGCCATGCAAAAGAAGATTCTTGTCACCACACCCATGACCACAGCCGAATCAGAAAGGTGCTTTTTTTACTTTGAAGAGGATTAAGACTTTCCTTGAGGAACACCATGACACAGGATGGGCTGAATGCTCTTGCCATGCTCTCCATGGAAAAAAAATGTTGTCACAAACATTCCTGACTTCAATAAAATGCTAATCGAGAGCTTTGCCACTCAGATGGACAGAAGGGCAAAATTTCTATACAAATGAGGTATCACACACACACAAATGCATCCACTTGATCTTTGTATAAAGCTGACCTTGGCACAACACTCCAGAAATATTTAACAGTGTAAATATCTGGCATTTTGTCTAAGTAGTGTTTACTACCATTACTGTAACAGTGACCTGCTCATAATTTTTGGTGTTCACTCAAATGTTGAAATTAAACAAAATGTTTTTGTTACTTGCCTCTTGCATTGCCTATTTACCATTTATGGTTGTGTTATTTTATGTGCAATTTAATGCAGTATTTTTCAACCTTGGTCTGCAAGGCAGCGTGCCAATAGTCAGACACACCTGGATTAATCAGTTTGTCCAATAATGTAAGACAGGAAATAAAAGAGCTGTGCTTAATTCAGGAAATAGTGAAGTTGTGCACAAAGCTCAGAAAGCACAAGTTTGTTTAAAAATAAAAAAATAGCACAGCCCCACCAAAAATATTTTTCACCAGCCGCCACTGGTCGCTTGTGCATCTGTTGACGCTGCTCGTCGGAATAAACAAAGCATCTGTTAATCTCAAAAGACGAGTGGTGTCGTGGTGATCTGTCAGCAATAATCCGCAAAACATAGATGAGATCCAGTTACACCTTCATTGGTTCAGCTGTGAGAAGTCCAGACGGCCGGTTCTGAGATTTGTTGTCTCACAGCTAGCTAGCTATTTCAAACGCATCTGGAAGCTTAGTGATAAACACCATATGATGGTGTTGTGCTTGTTCTGTTTTAATATTATGTTTAGGTCCGTTTTTACTTTTGCAAAGTGAAAAACAATTATATTTTTCTTTAATTAGAGATAATTACATCTTAGGTGTAGCGCTAAATAAGTCCATACTTCTGCCTACGACTTTTTCAAACAAACAAACGGATTGTATTATCTTACTTTTTATGCCATACAACAATTTTCGGGCTGCGCAGTGGCGCAGTGGTTAGAGCTGTTGCCTTGTAGCAAGAAGGTGCTGGGTTCGATTCCCGGCCTGGGATCTTTCTGCATGAAGTTTGCATGTTCTCCCTGTGCATGCGTGGTGGGTTCTCTCCGGGTACTCCGGCTTCCTCCCACAGTCCAAAAAACATGACTGTTAGGTTAATTGGTCTGTCTAAGTTGTCCTTAGGTGTGAGTGTGTGTGTTCATGGTTGTTTGTCCTGTGTGTCTCTGTGTTGCCCTGTGATGGACTGGCTCTCTGTCCAGGGTGTACCCCGCCTGATTGCCCGTTGACCGCTGGAGATAGGCTCCACTTGGTTGGACATGCCTGGAAAACCTCACCAGAGAGGTGTCCAGGAGGCATCCTAACTAAATGCCCAAGCAACTTCAACTGGCTCCTGTCGATGTGGAGGAGCAGCAGGTCTACTCCGAGCCCCTCCCAGATGACCGAGCTTCTCACCCTATCTCTGAGGGAGAGCCCAGCCACCCTGCGGAGAAAACTCATTTCAGCTGCTTGTATCTGCGATCTGATTCTTTCAGTAACTACCCAAAGCTCGTGACGATAGGCTTTGCCTTCTGGCTCAGCTCTCTCTTCACTACGACAGACGCGTGCATCGTCCGCATCATTACAGACGCAGCTCCAATCTGCCTTTGATCTTGTGCTCCATCTTTTCCTCACTTGTAAACAAGAAAAAAAAAGCCGACTTCACAGCAGAAATAAACATTTTTACAGTCTGGTTCAAAAATCATTTTAGGTTTAAAATGTCAAACTTATGACAACTCAGTGTAGATGTGATGAAAGCGTTTTTATGAATTTCACCCTTAGGGAGCTGGCAGGTGGCAGGCTAACGCTAGCGATTTGGCCCCATGCTTGCTCAATGGAAGGCCTCAGCCTCAGGTTAAAAGGTTTGTCTGTCATCTGTCCTCTCTCAGCTTTATATCTTTGCCCACTTTTGTATTTTCTTGGGGTGACGATACGTTTGACATGGCCAAGGTGGCAGTGGAGTTTTGAGCGCCAACGCCAAGGATCTGTCCTTTATTGATACAGTTTATGAGTTTAATCAGTGGTTTTAGGGGTCACAAGTCTTTAGATATTTTTGTGAGTCACAAAGTAAAATGTCTGGTCATTGATATGTGTATAGGGGGCGACGGTGGCACAGGAGTTAAGTGCTCGCCTCGTAATCGGAAGGTTGCAGGTTCGAGCCTCGCTCAGTCTGTCGCTGTCGTTGTGTCCTTGGGCAAGACACTTAACCCACGTTGCCTGCAGGTGGTGGTCGGAGGGACCGGTGGCGCCAGTGCTCGGCAGCCACGCCTCTGTCAGTGCGCCCCAGGGCAGCTGTGGCTACATCGTAGCTCATCCACACCAGTGTGTGAATGTGTGTGTGAATGTGTGAATGACTGATTGTGTTGTAACGCGCCTTGGGGGGTTCCAGGACTCTAGAAGGCGCTATATCAAATACAGACCATTTACCAATTACCATTTATCATAACCTGATCCCAGGTCAAGCTGCACTTTCCTCCAATACACCGTCTGACTCGCTGAATAATACAGCTTCTCTGTGTGTTTTGAACCCAGAACAAGTGTATGTGTAAATTATCCTTCCGTCTAAAATCAGGTATTTCTGCTGTTTCTGTGGTCTGAGAAAATGATTTCAACAGCATCTTTTTTAACGTTATGGAAACAGTAAACAAGCGGAGTCACTTGTTATTTTTACTCTGACGTTTAGTATTTTGTTAGTAAAAGAGATGACGTCTCTACTCAGTGACATCACACACCTCTTGGTTTGAACGTTCCTCTGCAGACTGATGTTTGGGATTTCCCAACAACCTCATGGACCAAATAATTCTTGAAGAAAACTGCTTTTTTATAATGCATCGTGATGTTTTTGCCTGCAGTTCATTTGTAAAAGCTTTGATTCAGACTCACATGCATACAGTAGACTGAGGAGTAACTGAGACTATGTAGAGAACCTCCACTCCTACTTATCTATGAGATGCTGCACTGATGAATAAATAATGGCCCGTCCTTTCAAGTGCACCTTTGAACAGAGATGAAGTTTTAACCCGCTAAAACCTGGAGACAGTTACAGTCTCCTAGACTATAAACCTTTTATTCAAGTCTCACACACTTTGCTCTTCTCTTTCGACGCCCCCACCCCTGATTCTCTCCACCATTACGCCCCCCACCTGGCCTTCTGTCATCAGGGTGAGGAATCAGAGAGATTCAAACACAAAGGTCTCTCAAATACAAAGAACCATGGATGGATGCAGCAGACCCTGCTCTTTTGTTGAGCGACTCAGGGGTCCTGGGGGGACAATATTTGGAAAGCTGCACCTGCCTGTGCCCGTTTATTTGTGTCTTCATGAACAGATTTGCCAAACTGAAAAGAGATATATGGATATGCGTTTTTTAAAACAAGGTCTGGTTTTGGCAGCTTCTGAGAAAATCCAGGTAGAGTTGCACCGGTGCTGACTCAGACAAGCAACCATTTAGAAGAATGTTTGAATCATACATCAGCGTTACTTTCAGCTCCAGCCTGGTTTCCATCCAGCTTTCCATCTCAAATCCTGTCATGGCTAGGAGTTGGGATTTTACTTCCCTGAGGAGAAAGCTACTGAATGAAGCTGTTTGATACTTGACTCTTTTTCCTTGCTCTAAAACTGATTTATTAAAGCAACAGAGCCGTCTCTGGCATATGAAAACAACTTTCTGGTTAAACGCTCTTCAAATGAATTTTTTATTCCTGGAAAAAATAAAGATACAAAGCAGGAAGCAAATCTGTTTCGTAACGACTGAATGAATACCACAAAATAGTTATCATTGGGCCAAGCTGAAAGGGAATTAAAAAGAAGTTTTGGTAGTTTCTGCATCAGACTCCCAAAAACCCTTCATGCACACATTAAAACTGCTGGGTCACTTTTCTAACTCAAATGGTGAGTGGTAGTCAGTGGGTCTTTATTAAACGTATGTTGATGCCAATGAACTGGATTTCTTGCTATTTTAGTCCATGAAAGTCTGTCTGTCTGTCTGTCTGTCTGTCTATCTGTCTGTCTATCTATCTATCTATCTATCTATCTATCTATCTATCTATCTATCTATCTATCTATCTATCTATCTATCTATCTATCTATCTATCTATCTATCTATCTATCTATCTATCTATCTATCTATCTATCTATCTATCTATCTATCTATCTATCTATCTATCTATCTATCTATCTATCTATCTATCTATCTATCTATCTATCTATCTATCTATCTATCTATCTATCTTTCTTTCTTTCTTTCTTTCTTTCTTTCTTTCTTTCTTTCTTTCTTTCTTTCTTTCTTTCTTTCTTTCTTTCTTTCTTTCTTTCTTTCTTTCTTTCTTTCTTTCTTTCTTTCTTTCTTTCTTTCTTTCTTTCTTTCTTTCTTTCTTTCTTTCTTTCTTTCTTTCTTTCTTTCTTTCTTTCTTTCTTTCTTTCTTTCTTTCTTTCTTTCTTTCTTTCTTTCTTTCTTTCTTTCTTTCTTTCTTTCTTTCTTTCTTTCTTTCTTTCTTTCTTTCTTTCTTTCTTTCTTTCTTTCTTTCTTTCTTTCTTTCTTTCTTTCTTTCTTTCTTTCTTTCTTTCTTTCTTTCTTTCTTTCTTTCTTTCTTTCTTTCTTTCTTTCTTTCTTTCTTTCTTTCTTTCTTTCTTTCTTTTCCAGGATCATAACTTTGACTTTAAAGGGGCGGGGCATCTAAGGCTACATTGTAGCTCTTCACCACCGGTGTGTAAATGTGTGTGTGCATGGGTGAGACCCAATCCCAATACTCACACTTCCACCGTTGGCGTTGTGCCCTTCAATTGTGTGATCCTGACCAGGGGTGCAAGTGTGTAGGGTGTCCCGATTCTCAAGTGCGGAAGTTGAACCCTTTGCACCATTGATCCGCACTTCACCCAAGTCTGAGAGTGTCCACCCCCTCTCAAGGACTTGGGTTCCAGAGCCAAAGCTATGTGTCGAGGTGAGTCCGACTATATCTAGCAGGTACCGCTCAACCTCTGCCACAAGCTCCTGCTCCTTCCCCGCCAGCGAGGTGACGTTCCATTTCCCAATATAATATCATATCATATCATATCATATATCATATCATGAAATACAGTACAGTATTATAATAATAATAATAATTATTATTATTATTATTATCATTATTATACTGTATTGTATTGCATTACATGATATGATATGATATGATATGATATTATGTTATGTTATATTATATTATATTATATGATATTATATTATATTATGGTATAATAAAAACATAATAATAATAATAATAATAATAATAATAATAATAATAATAATAATAAAACAAATTTCTATTATTATTATAATTTTTTTATTATTATTATTATACTGTATTGTATTGTATTACATGATATGATATGATATGATATGATATGATATTACATTACATCATATTATATTATATTATATTATATTATATTATATTATATTATGTTATGTTATATTATTATTATCAGCCAAAATGTTCTTGCTGTTTGAACCAATGATGACCTTTAATACCAGAAATTCCAATTCTATTTTGTAGTTCTTACATAAACACAGAGTATAATTTGGAAAAGCAACGCAGAGAAACTCTGTTTACAGAAAATGACCTTCCAGTTGTGATATTGAGTACATGTTCATTTCTCATTTTAATTGGTGTCACAACATTTTAGTGAATATTTAAAATTCAGATCACATTAAAACATCTGATACTGAAAAATAAACGTCAGTGTTTGACTGAAAATAAATGAAAAACATGGTCATTACAGAGAATTTTATTTGGTCTCTTCAAACATCATTACTTCCCTAAACTATCTCCTTGTCTTTATTTTTCTTTGATTGATTTGATTGTCTTTTATTTTTTAATTAATACTGTAGACGTGATTGAGAAAACATGGATTTTCCATCAGAGTGATCCGCAGATTAATCTGGATCCAGTGGATACTGTCTTAAAGACTGGTTGTAATTCTTGTGTTTCCTGACTGAACATTTTGTTATTTCTCTAATGTAAAACGAATACCTTTGTTGTACCACATATTACTTCCCTTTACTGATCCATCCACACGTGAATGACAGACTGAAAAAGAATCTGCAGATTATTAAACAAGGATTGATTTTTAAAACTGCCTAAACTCCCAGAAGTATTCTTGAATATCCCTTTGGACTCATTATTCCCTCATATTTGGGTCATTCTGCCTTCTTAAGTGCCAGTTGGATCTTTATTGTCGTCATGAATCTCCTGTCACACAATCTGGCACAAAAATACACAACAATTAGTTTTACAGATATTTACTCCCCCGCCCGTCCGCCCGCCCGCCTCCCTCTTCTCTCCCTTTCTGCTCTTTGCTGAAGTCGCAGGCGCTCGGTGGATTCTGCCAGTGCGCATCTCGGGATCGCTGCTCTCCTCTTACGGACTGTTGGCACGCCGGGACGTACCTGCAGGCGCGGGGATAACGGAAAGGAGGAGGAGAGGAGAGCAGCGCGGTTACGAGAGAACGTTTGGTTGAGGAAGTGAAGAGAAGCGGCCGGAAGGGCAGGAGAAGAGGAGCGCACCATGGCTTCAAAGGAGAGCACAGCGGCTGGCTTCGTCAACGTGAGCAGGGACATCACAGGTGAGTTGGTCTGGACTTTTTTAGTGACTGCAGGTGTGTTCTCACCTCTTACACAAACATCTTCAGAGGAAAACGGCATGTTTAAGAGTCAGACGGAGGTGCTCTTCACTCGGCTCCCCTCCCCTTTAAAGCGCTTTCCTCCCGTTTGATTGGAGTTTGCGGGCGCAGGAAATGTTCCACAAGGCTGAAACCAAAACGAATGAGCTCCAATCACTCAGCGCGTGAGTTTATTGATTTGTGTTAAATGTCCGTGTGAAACTCACAAGGCGCAGTCCAGTTTAATTATCGGAAGCGTTCATTATGGCGTTTCAGTCCTTCTTTCTGTGTGCGTGGAAGTGGATGTGACTGAAAGCTGTGCGTGCACGCAGACCGCAGATCTGAGCTCTGTGGCGCCTGAGGGTACAGCAGCGCACCAGCATGTTTGGACGCAGAGATGTCAGAGAAGGTGCGCTTCTCACTGTTAATTATCCTGATGCTGTTTACCAGCTCAGCTCCTTCCGTCTGCTGTCCCTAAGCACCAGGCGGCATTTGGCTCAAGGCACTTGAGAGTGGAGGACAAGTTGTGGAGGGGATCAGTCAGAGAGTCTGAGAAGGGAAATCTGAGGGACTGATCCATCCTGGGAGCAGATGCTGAGGTCACCCTGCAGGACCTCAGGGTGCTGAGTTAAATGGTTTAAATGGCAGGTTCTTACCCTGCTTAATGCCTCAACTCCACGTTTGTCTTCAGCTGATCCCCCTCCCAATCCACCAGCAGGTTCCTCATCCACACCCACCTGCACCACCTCATCCCAGCCTCATCCTCCCAGCATCTGCCACTGCTCAGTCACGCATGACAGCCAACTTCCTGGCTGTTGCTGGATGAGGGAATGTATTACAGTCAGGGAGTTGGGAGACTTTGACACAATGGAGTGGCATGACACAGCATGACTCGCTGCATCTCCATCTGCTGGGCTCCAGGGGTGCATATTGATGGGCCTGTTATGAATGGGATGGGAATGTCACGCCGTATAGAGTATATGTCCCTGTTAGCTGTCTGGACACAAATTCCAGCGTAGTCCTATAGGTTGCAGCTGTGTTCAGTTTGCTTAAAATCACCTCTCTCATCCTAAAGACACATGGTACGATGGATGGAAAGTCGTTAAACCAATAAAAGTACGTTTCTGAGTCAGATTTAGATTTAAATATGGATGCATTCTAAATAAAGCTCCAAGACTGATTCACTGATCAGTGTGCTGAATCGTTTCTGAAATGTGTCACCTGCTGGTGTCCTAAATCCAACTTTAATGCTTTGATGCTCAGCTCACGCTACCTGGTGAAAAAAAAAAAAAACCTACAGAAACAGAAAAGGCATCACGCATGGTGTAGATTTCAGCCGTATTCTGACAGATTTGCTGCTTTTCTGTCTTTTTCTTTTTCCAACATGTCTCCTATATTCTCGCATAGCTTTTTCTTAATGCAACAGTTTTTAATCCACTCATGAAGATCGTATCTCTGTACAAAACTCCCAAATCATGTGATGAAACAGATCTACATCATCAGAATATTTGATGATATTCCAATGCTCCGCCAGCTAAAGCATCATCAGTACAGAATACACCAAAATATCTGATAACAGTCGGCACCCAAACTGAACTAAAATATTAGAGTGATGTCACCAGTGACCGAGTCGGATCATGTTCTACGGCAGCCTCATACAAGATTCTTTTGTTGATTCATTCAAAATAAAATTTTAAAGAAAGTATCAGAATAAATTAAGTATAGACATCTCACACCATCTGAAGATCTAACAGAGGTGATTCAGATTTGTGTGTGTGTGTGTTTGTCATAAAGCCCTGGATGTTCGTCTACAACTGATTAAAATTTAGCATCAATCTGGTTCCACGAGTAATCAAAAATTGCTAACTGAAAATGTGTGAAACTGAGGGGGTATCGAGCTAAAACTTGATTTCGTAGCTGAGAAACATCCTCGACATGAACACATCTTTGCTTCATATATTTTCAAAAACCCGTAAGCAATCTTTCTTTAACCACCGGACGGATTTTAATCAGCCTCTCAGAACATCTACATACCTCAAGACGGCAAACATAGAAAATGTTTCAACTCGGTCAATTTCACAGATGCTGAGCTAAAATTTGACATGCTAGTAGCTGAGAATCATTAATAACACGAACTGAGTGCTAACAGGTCGGCTGGAGGTACTTCATAGCGCCATCGTCAAGATTTGACCAATGAGGCTATAACTCAATCACAAAAAAATTGCCATAATAGTATAATAAAGTAGCCCTGCAAGTCATCCTTTATGTGTGAATATGTGAATATATAGTTGACCACGGCTGATAGGGATAGCTCTGTTGTGTGGTAGAATCTACGGTTGTTTTTCAAACTATCTCCGTGTGCTGTTGGATAACAAACAATGTTACACACTCACTACTACAGATGTCAGTAAATGGGGAAGTTCACCGTACACCGTTGAAGAAGATGCAGATGCATCATTTTTCTAAATAAAGATTTCAGTACATCTATCTGCTCTTGACTCAAAGAAAAGCCCAAGTCTAAATAGTCCAAAGTCGATGCCAAAAGTGGCTTCACACGAGCTATCACCATTTTTACATCTCTGCTCAGTTGCAGTAACATCCAACAAACCAAACCTATAGAGCGTTGTGATTGGCCCATCCAACCTATAGAATGCTGTGAATGGCCCATCGATCCTATAGAGCATTGTGATTGGCCCATCAAAAACATAGATTCTTGTGAGTGGCCCATCCAACCTATAGAGTGTTGTGATTGGCCCATCCAACCTATAGAGTGTTGTGATTGGCCCATCAAACCTACAAAGTGTTGTAATTGGCCCATCAAACCTATAGAGTGTTGTGATTGGCCCATCCAACCTATAGAGTGTTGTGATTGGCCCATCAAACCTACAAAGTGTTGTAATTGGCCCATCCAACCTACAAAGTGTTGTAATTGGCCCATCAAACCTATAGAGTGTTGTGATTGGCCCATCAAACCTATAGAGTGTTGTGATTGGCCCATCAAACCTATAGAATGCTGTGATTGGCCCATCAAAAATATAGATTGTTGTGATTGGCCCATCAAACCTATAGAGTGTTGTGATTGGCCCATCAAAAATATAGATTGTTGTGATTGGCCCATCCAACCTATAGAGCATTGTGATTGGCCCATCAAAAATATAGATTGTTTTGAATGGCCCATCCAACTTATAGAGTGTTGTAATTGTTCCATCAAACCTATAGAGTGTTGTGATTGGCCCATCAAAAATATAGATTGTTTTGAATGGCCCATCCAACTTATAGAGTGTTGTAATTGTTCCATCCAACCTATAGAGTGTTGTGATTGGCCCATCAAACCTACAAAGTGTTGTAATTGGCCCATCCAACCTATAGAGTGTTGTAATTGTTCCATCAAACCTATAGTGTTGTGATTGGCCCATCAAACCTATAGAGTGTTGTGATTGGCCCATCAAACCTATAGAATGCTGTGATTGGCCCATCAAAAATATAGAGTGTTGTGATTGGCCCATCAAACCTACAAAGTGTTGTAATTGGCCCATCCAACCTATAGAGTGTTGTAATTGTTCCATCAAACCTATAGTGTTGTGATTGGCCCATCAAACCTATAGAATGTTGTGATTGGCCCATCAAAAATATAGATTGTTGTGATTGGCCCATCAAACCTATAGAGTGTTGTGATTGGCCCATCAAAAATATAGATTGTTGTGATTGGCCCATCCAACCTATAGAGCGTTGTGATTGGCCCATCAAAAATATAGATTGTTGTGATTGGCCCATCAAAAATATAGATTGTTGTGATTGGCCCATCAAAAATATAGATTGTTGTGATTGGCCCATCAAAAATATAGATTGTTGTGATTGGCCCATCCAACCTATAGAGCATTGTGATTGGCCCATCAAAAATATAGATTGTTTTGAATGGCCCATCCAACTTATAGAGTGTTGTAATTGTTCCATCAAACCTATAGAGTGTTGTGATTGGCCCATCAAAAATATAGATTGTTTTGAATGGCCCATCCAACTTATAGAGTGTTGTAATTGTTCCATCCAACCTATAGAGTGTTGTGATTGGCCCATCAAACCTACAAAGTGTTGTAATTGGCCCATCCAACCTATAGAGTGTTGTAATTGTTCCATCAAACCTATAGTGTTGTGATTGGCCCATCAAACCTATAGAGTGTTGTGATTGGCCCATCAAACCTATAGAATGCTGTGATTGGCCCATCAAAAATATAGAGTGTTGTGATTGGCCCATCAAACCTACAAAGTGTTGTAATTGGCCCATCCAACCTATAGAGTGTTGTAATTGTTCCATCAAACCTATAGTGTTGTGATTGGCCCATCAAACCTATAGAATGTTGTGATTGGCCCATCAAACCTATAGAGTGTTGTGATTGGCCCATCAAACCTATAGAATGCTGTGATTGGCCCATCAAAAATATAGATTGTTTTGATTGGCCCATCAAACCTATAGAGTGTTGTGATTGGCCCATCAAAAATATAGATTGTTGTGATTGGCCCATCCAACCTATAGAGCGTTGTGATTGGCCCATCAAAAATATAGATTGTTGTGATTGGCCCATCAAAAATATAGATTGTTGTGATTGGCCCATCAAAAATATAGATTGTTGTGATTGGCCCATCCAACCTATAGAGCGTTGTGATTGGCCCATCAAAAATATAGATTGTTGTGAGTGGCCCATCAAAAATATAGAGTGTTGTAATTGGCCCATCAAACCTATAGAGTGTTGTGATTGGCCCATCCAACCTATAGAGTGTTGTGATTGGCCTATCAAACCTATAAAGTGCTGTGATTGGCCCATCAAAAATATAGATTGTTGTGATTGGCCCATCAAACCTATAGAGTGTTGTGATTGGCCCATCAAAAATATAGATTGTTGTGAATGGCCCATCCAACTTATAGAGTGTTGTAATTGGCCCATCAAACCTATAGAGTGTTGTGATTGGCCCATCCAACCTATAGAGTGTTGTGATTGGCCTATCAAACCTATAAAGTGCTGTGATTGGCCCATCAAAAATATAGATTGCTGTGATTGGCCCATCAAACCTATAGAGTGTTGTGATTGGTTTAACACAATGCTGCCCGGGCCAATGGTAGGCCGGCTTAGGTTCCTATGGAGTGTGGCTAGACCAACATGCAGAACACAATCATGTCACTTCAGCTGACGGTCTAGATTTCTAGGCTAATAAAAAAGCTTTTTGATACAGAAGATATTATTCTAATTTTTATTTCCACCATATGCGATCAGGTAGATGCTTTTATGTGAACCTTTGAATTATTTTGTTTAGTCTTTTTGTTCCCAAATTAAGCCAGAGCTGTTTGACACATTTTTATTAACCCTTCTTCTGTTGTTTTGGCCTCACTTTTATCCCAGAGAGCATCAGGAAGATGTTGGACAAGCAGGTCATCAAGTTTGTGCGAGCCATCAAGCAAGAGACCCGGAGCGGCAAGTCTGAAGACAGAATTCTGGTGAGAGCCACCGACGTCTGCCTACCCCTCCCCTTTCACCCCTTCTGTGTCACTCCTGGTCACTTGGGAGCTACGCTGATAGTTAAAGTGAACGCGACTTGAAGGTGTGCTGTGGAGTGGCACTTGGCTCGGTGAGCAGCTAGAAAGGCTCTCAAAGGCTCTTCGGGGAGCAACTTGCAACAAATTGAAGGAGTCATAAGGAGTCACAGATTATGCTTTCTAAGACGTGCAACAGACGCGACGTAAATCAGGCTTAGGACAGATGCTGTCTAAGCAGAGAGGAGTGGACACCATGCCGTGGCCTACTGAGTCCATCCTAGATGTTATTAGATGTGGCAGGATGGCCTTAATGCCACAGGTTACAGTGTGTGTGTGTGTGTGTGAGAGCTCAAACACACAGGGCCTGTGTTTGTCTTTTACTTGCTGAGAAATAAGCCTCTTTGTGTGTGTGTGTGTGTGTGTGTGTGTGTGTGTGTGTGTGTGTGTGTGTGTGTGTGTGTGTGTGTGTGTGTGCGCGCATGCCAGAGGGTTTGTGGGCAGCCGGGGATGTGTTGAAGGAAGCCAAGGCCAAAGCTGTTATTGAGAAACTGACAATTAGTCAGCGACCCATCAGTTACTGGCGCAGCGTCACCGTGATCAGGCCTGAGCTCACGCCCGCCCCTTAAGACTACCAGACACACACCAATACGTGCGTCTGAACTCATCTGTCCTCCATATTTCTTCATAGACTCAACCTCCCCTTGTTTTTGTTATCCCTTTGTTTCCATCCTCCCTCCCACCTTATCTGTCCATCTCAATTATTCTCCACCCTGTCACCCCACCTCCTTCCATCCTTCCACTTCCTCGCCGGTTGCTTCTCACTTTCTCTGTCTCCCCCCTTCTTGCCCTTTCCCTCTTCCCTCCATCTTCACTCAAACCTGTAAAAGCGTTTTGAGCTCCTCTTTCCATCAGAAGCAATTCAATTAGGCCTTTCCCTTGCAGTTATTTTTTTCTTTTTTTCATACAATCCAAAAAGGCTTTGGCTGCGTTTGCTGCAACAGCTCCCAAGTTCTTTCAAGGGTAGGGAGGGAGCTCTGGATATAGATGTGTCTGCATTCATTCGAGTGCACAGTCAAGGTCTCCTCCCCCGTTTTTAAAAGGTGATCTTTTCACTCTAATGAATGCATTTGTCTAGATGTATGAAGGGTGAAAAGAAGGGCTTGTAAATAGATTGTTTGACTCTATCTGGGTTGTGCAGAAAATGTCACGCGTGGAGAAAGTAGAGAATGATTTGATCGATGTCGTATAGAGAAGATTTAATCTGAAATCATTTCTCAGTAAGCCCTGCTGGATGGGACGAGGCTGTCATATTCCTTTATCTTCCTTATGTGGATGCTACATTCTGATATAGATTGAGAAGGTCAAATTGGTACAAGAATTTCGTTTTTTTTCCTGATTTCTCTAGTTTTATATTAAGCAAGAGGTCTTTGTTCTACGATTTTTCTCCTTCCTATAGTCCCATTTTCCCTCCGGAGACTGTTTGCATCAGGCTGTCTGTGTGTGTTGACTGTACCAGCCATCAAATCATGACATGCAGTCACACACATACACACACACACATGCACTCATAGTTCATCACCCCCAGCACCCAGCTCAGACAGGCACTGGGAGGGCCTCAGCATGCAGCACCCAGGGCAGCATGCTGGAGAGCATCAGCCACACACGCACACACACACACACACACACACACACACACACACACACACACACACACACACACACACACACACACACACACACACACACACACACACACACACACGCAGGAGGGGTTCCATGCAGACCAAACTTGCTTGCGCACACACTCTTGCGGACATTATTAGATCACTCTATTTGAAGATTAGAAGCAACTGAGAAAACAAAGCATCTTCAAAGGCTGAGAGCGTGGTGGGGTGGGGAGAGGTGCATGCATATGATGGAGGAAGAAGGGGGGGGGGGAGTGAATGAAGGACGGGGTGGGGGTGGGCTGAAGAAATCACTGCTGTGTTGTGATGCCCCAGTTGCGATTTAGTTCTTCCGCCACTTATTTTCCTTGATCGGTTGCACCGTTTCTTCCTCTGTTGACTCTGCGGTTTTCATGCTCTCACAAACAATGAGCCCATTAGCGTCTTAGAGCGCCACTGTCTGACAGTCGTGGACACACTCGACTGCTCATTCCTGCTTAAATCCTACGGTTAGCTGAAGGACCTGCTCCAGTAGAACCGTGTCGACAGAGTTCTGCCCACCTGGTGCAGATGTGAGGGATGTTTACAGCACCACTGTAATCTCTGGAAATGGTGGTGGGTGTAATGATGATATATGGCATTGGATTGTTTTTAAAGTTCCCTTCTTGTACATAAATCATATACATTTTAGAGACCCTCCCTGCTTAAACCAATTAAAAATCCAATATTTACTCCCATTTTATTGGGTGAATGTTCTTTTATGAAAGCCAGATAGAGTCCTTTGGTTATACCTCTATTTATTGTGAAGCAGAGATAAAATTAATAATAAAAATATTCTTAACCAAATGCAGAATGGCACCCCACCACCCTCTCATTAAAAAATGACCTCATTAAACAGGGAGTAAATTAACTTTTTAATAAAATCTTTGTTTATTTTTCTTTGTTTTTTTTGTCCGTTAGCCAAGACCGTGATTAAAAACACATTATGTTTTTGAATACTTCTAACTAAATAAATAAAATAAACAATGCAAAATTAATTACATTTTCTCAGCGATAAAGCACTTTATATTCCACAGTAAATATCTGCAAATTGTATCTTGCCACAAAAACATATTGTTGTGGGAAAAATGATGTTTATAACTCTTTTAAAACTATTTGGAAATCTAAATTTGGTTGGCTTTAAAAATGAAATCAACATTCAGCACAGATCCCACCAAATAAGCAGGGTTATCGTGTGTTTCTGGTTTAAAACCTCAACTGGAAGTTTAGTCTTCTGTTATCAGATTTCATTCATTTTTAGGGGCGGTTTTTGTGATTTATTAATATTTTTAACCTTTTGATGTTCTGCTTGAACATTTTGGAGAACATTTTAGTCCTTGTCTGAAGAATGGCTTGCTTGAGTAAAAAACATTAAACATTATTGGGATCATTGTCTCAAATGAACAAAACACGGAGAAAAACATTTAATGTAACTTTTTTTTCTCCTTCACCACTAATTTAATAGACGTTGCTTGGATAATTTTTTGGCTCTGTGTATTTATGTGAAGGGCATCTTACAGCTTTTGGAGTTTTCTCTGTTCTTTTGTTCTTCTGCCGTAAACCAAACCAGTTCTTTGTGTTGGAGATCAAGAATTTCAGCGGTTCTGGTGTAGGAGGAACACTCGGCATCAGCCCTGAGGCATGAAAGTGGCTCCAATGAGATTCATTTTCTTTTTCTAATCATCCAGTCTGTTCTGTAGAGTTGGGCTGTCAACAGAATTTTCTCGTACCTGAAGTCCGCAGACTCTAAACAGCAAGTCTTCTTCTTTTCATGCAGGGTTATACGTTATTTCTTAGAGATGGATGATAAAACTCCTCGGCTCGAGCCATTAACCTAATGCACATCAGTGTGAAAGATGCTTTTTGAAGAAGAGCATTAAAACACGACACCTTGTTTGTAGCTTGTTTGTTCAAGTGCTTTACATTTATGCCAGTCAGATTGTTTTTTTAAGTTAACGAATAAAATGAAATAAAATATGTTTTGTATAATAGGCCACAGAAGATGCCCTCCATAGAATCTGTTAACATAATCATAAAACATGTTAATTTATTTTTATTTATTTGTTTGTAAAGCCCCAAAGCACCCAACGTGCCAAAAACAGAGAATGCGTTAAATCATAACTGGATATAAAATAATAAGTGCACAATGAATCAACTTGATGCAGTGACTAAAATCAGATAAAAAAGACGAGTAGGTCTAAAAACACCCAGACCTTATTGCACACATATAAAAATATAAACAAACATGACATGTTGTAACAAAAAAGATGAATAGGACAGATGACCCTGCTGCATCTAAAGAGAAGGCCAAAACCGCTTTTGGCTAAGAACTAGGATATACACCTTAACATCAACACAAGTAGGCAATATAGCACCCAGAGCACTACCAATGGTAAATAAACCACTGGACCATTAAAGCTCAAACATATCTGTAATACTGCCTCAGCTTAGCTTCTTTTTCTGGCTCTTGGAGGGTGCAGACGCTTTTTTCCTCCTCTCCTCCATATCTTATCCTCAAGGCCTTTGTCTGTTTGTGTGTGCTGGGTGCACGGTCGCTTCTGCAATTTTTCTGGAAACTGGAAACTGAAATTCACTAAAATGGATCTCGTCAGCTGGTCTCTCAACGCGGTTGATAAAATTTTTTCAACGATGAGAACGGGAGAAGGGGCTCCCGGATGCCCCTCCGTGACAGACCCAGTTGGACACATCATGGACTCCTGGAAACAGTGGGACTTGATTTGTTTATCTCAGCTGTGTGTGGAGGACTCTGAAGACGTGTGGATATTCATGGTGTTGGTGTCAGGTTTCCTGCTGATCGGCATTGGAGGCTACTTGGCTTACCGGAAAATTAACGAGCTGTCACGGAATATTGGCCTGATCCCGGAGCTCAGAGATGGTTTGCACCGCGCTGTGAATTCACAGACTCAAATAATTGTCGAGATGAATCGTAAGCTTGGGACTTTGGCGGAGATTCATTCTTTGGCACAAAAGATGGATGCCATCAAGGAGAGAGTGGACGAATCAGCACGGATTGGGATAGATTAACGTCCATTATTATTGGGAATTTGAGAGGTTGAGGACCAACAAACTGTAAGACAGAGAGGAAATTATCTCTGTCTGACCCCAAAACAATTTCTAATCGGAATCTGGCGTCTTTGAGCCTGCAAGGCTCCAACGAAAACTCCCCCCCCAGAAGATATGTGGAATGTGCCATCGCTATGGCAACTCAACTCTGTCTCCTTTCCCAGCCTGAGTGGG